CCAAATTTCCCAATTTTCCCAATTTTCCAAATTTTCCAAATTCCCCAAATTCCCAAACTCCCAAATTCCCAAATTCCCAAATTTCCAAATTCCCTAAATTCCCTAAATTCCCTAAATTCCCCAAATTCTCAAAGTCCCCAAATTCCTCAAATTTCCCAAATTCTCAAATTTCCCAAATTCTCAAATTCCCCAAATTCTCAAATTCCCCAAATTCTCTAAAATTCTCTAATTCTCCAAATTCTCAAATTCCCCAAAATTCTCAAATTCCTAAATTCCCCAAATTCCCCAAATACCCTAAATTCCCCAACTTCCTTAAACTACCCAACTTTCCTAAATCCCTAAATTCCTAAATCCCCAAATCCCTAAATCCCTAAATCCCTAAATCCCCAAATCCCCAAATTCCTATATCCCTAAATCTCCAAAATCCCAAATTCCCAAATTTTCCAAATTCGCAAAAATTTGAGAATCCAAAACGTGACTCCACTAATTCAAAAATGCTCCAATTTTTGTAAGTATCAACCAAAGTAAAAATAAGAATCCTTCCCGAATCCTTATTTCTTTCGCATCCGACTTTTCGTTCTTTTCTACGTTATATCGAAAGTTCAACATTTTTCCGTAGCAGGTTGAAGAATATATTTCAGTCGTTAAACGATTGCTGTTATTTCAACAGAATATATTGTTTATTTAGAACTAGTCATGTGTAGCTTTACGAAAGATTTAGATGTGTTCGATAGTGTTAATTAAGAAAAGAAAAAAAATTTCACGAAGCTCTGACGACGTTTATCCTACGTGATATTTATATCATGAGCATTTAAATATGACTTCAATATTTTACGACACAATTGTTCGTGTCCTCGTTCAGTGTTTAGAAAGGCGTCTTAATTCATAGTTATCGTTATTTATTAATCTCGACAGTACAGATTGTAAATAAACTTCTGATAGAAGATACATAATCTATTAAATATATAAACGTTTTGCGTTAAGTTAACTTTTCTTTTCATTGCTAACTCCTATGACTCCATTTTGTTTTATTACATGACGTATCTCTAACCGCTCGTTAAATCTATACAAATGTATATTTCGATCTTTTTATTTCACATACTCGCACTTTCACTATCGATACATCAAGTACAAAGTTAAATAAAAAGTAAAGAAATCGACGGTTATGCTTTAAAGTCACAATAAATTTGAATTTACATCAAAACTTCGTACCACGCAGTACGTGATTTCATATTCTTTTTGGCGCGCAAAGCGAAAGTAGAATAAAACCCACTTACCTTCATTTTTCCGCGCAAGAACAGTCAGCACATCAAACCAGTCCAATCCAGGAGTTCTCCCACAATGAAACGTTGAACACAGCACTATTTTTCTATCACTTTCCACGTTTTTACAACAAAATTCGTCGCAATTACATTCGAAACGTCAGCAGCACTGACAGTTCACAGAGGACTGACGTCACGCCATGGTGAATCGACCGCGCAACGCAAGATGGCGCCCTCGGTGCTCTTCGCGCTTCGATCCGAAGGTACACGAGGTTGCTCATGCGTCGCCGCGCCGGCAGGATGTCGCTCGCGTCGGGGCTCGTCATTCGCCGATTGGCCGGCAGTGTGGCAAGAGGGGTGTCTAGGGAAATACGTTGTTGAAACACACTGTCGTGCTGCGCGGTGGTTGTGTGGCGACGACGGAGAAGCAAGAGGGGTGCAACGAACCCTCTAGGCTCGGTTCGAGTCTACGGAGCGCGGAGTTGTGTTCGAATCATGGCGACACCCGACCCCGTAGACCCAGCCACCCTAGAGATAAAGACCCGTAGCATAGAACAGACACTACTCCCACTAGTAAAGCAGGTAAGAGAATTTAATCGGAAACCAGAGAAAAGAAACTGTTTGTTTGATCTCTGATCACCCGGCGTTCCTTCTTTTTTCTTTCAATTATTTGAGCCGCTTACACTGCCTGGCCTTTAACCGCGATAGGTTAAGGTCTTCTCACCCCGGCTTACTTCGACACCGTTACGTTCTGTTGCACGGCATCGGTATTGCTCCACACACGAATAATAACAGCGATTGTGTGCGTGTTTGGCTACGCGTCACACCACGTAGATGTGTAGTTATGCACGTGTGTATGCTACAGTACACACCGATGCATGTGTATATACAGGGTGTACCGCTTTGGCCATCTGGAATACTCTTACAAATATCACGCCGACATATCCTATACACGTGTAATAAGGTTTTTCGCGTCTCGAGTACAGCACAGCAGACAATTAAATGTCTAAAAATATTCTTCAATGTCTGACAATCTTTGCTAACCTAACAAACGTTGTGATTTTGAATAAATACGAGGATGGTTTAGCTCGACACCCTGTATGTCCGCGAGGGAGCGAGAGAGCATGGTGGTCAGAGAAAAAGAGAGACTCGCAGACGTGCGAGACACGAGACAAGGAGAAACAAACGTGTCTAACGCGTTCGAGAAGGAGACAGATGTACGAAAGAAGCGTGTACATCGAGGATTAAGTGTTACTTAAGACAAGGAACGTGCAGCATTAACCATTTCTTCGATATCGATTTAATCTTAAGGAGTACCTTTTTTAGACCTCAGTCTTCGTTTAAAAAGAAATCTAGCGGTATTTGACAGTTCTTTAGCCGGGCATGTGCTTTCTATCGAGCCGCGATTAAACAGATATTTTGGTAGTTCGCTCTCTCGCTCCCTCCTTTTTGTTGTCCTTTCTTTTCGCCTTCTGCACGTGTGTGTGTCTGTGCGGTGTCACGTGACTAGCGTGGCACCGCGTCAATTTCAAACTTTCGTCAAATAATATTAACACGCATGAATACACGTACACAGAGCATGGAGGGCGTTGACTTGCGAAAAACGCCCGCGAATTTGGCGGGAAACTATAATTATAATTACGAGACAGTTATAAACCGATATCGATATCCCCTTTTTTTCGCCAGAGGAAGATTAATGAAATGCCGCACGTGTTCTTTATTACCCTTTTTTTAGAACCGCTAATTTTGGGAGAGAAGGGTCACGATTTTCGGTCACCGAAAATAATTTTCACGCGTTCGTTTCCGACTACTTTTTATCCGATTTCGTCGCTCTTTTTATACCGCGATATTTTATTACGCCCCAAAAATTTGTTAAATATTTCAAACACGACGGGGAGTCGCGCTCCAATTTCGTTTGTTAAAAGGTAACAAAAATAGGCAGAATTTTTGTGAAATGAATCTTTAAAAGAATATTCCGAAATCTTCGTTTCTTTAGACACGAATTGTGTTCAAACACGAAACTCGATCCACAAAAGACGTCATTATCGAGGAGAGGCGAGCAAACGAACAGGTTCAAGTGGATTCTCTTTATTCTAGGACCTACTTAATTTCGTAATCGTCGATCCAGTTTTCTACGTCGCTTCTCGAATTAATTTCGAACGGTCACTCCCCGATATTTACATATCCGAATCACGGGAGAACGAAATCTACCAAGAAATTCGATTACGCCCGGACAATTTACTTTTCCTACCAAATTTATTCCCTCATTTGTGTTATAAATTATTAGCGTTTCAACGAATGAACGTATAATTGAATTACGCGAAAATATGAACACTCTGACCAGTTGCATTTTCTGAATAACGGAATAATAGAATCGTATCCAATTATAGCGAATCCTGTATACCCTTGGGATCTCGAGTACGCGCGGACGAGTTCCGTTTTATATTCATATATTCCTTCTATTCGTTCGATATGCGCTATGGCCTAATACATGTATTACCAACATGGAACAACGTATACAGTTCAAAGCTTTTCTAACGTTCACTGATGTGGAGATTGATGGGGAGTTTGTTTTTATTGCGGTTGTGTGTTTGGAGATTAGTGGAGGGTGGATATTTCGGGTTTGTTTGGATATTTGGGAGGTGGAGGTTTCAGAGGTTAAGAGAGTGAATTTGGAGGATTGGGAGGTTGAGAATTTGGAAGTTTGGAAAGATGGAAATTTGAGAATTTAGGGGTTGAAAATTTGGGGGTTTGGGAGGGTGGAAATTTGAGAGTTTGGGGATTGAAAATTTGGGAGTTTAAAGGAATGGAAATTTGAGAGTTTAGGGGTTGAAAATTTGGGAGTTTGGAAGAGTGGAAGTTTGAGAGTTTGGGGGGTTGAAAATTTTGGGATTGAGAAGAGAGGAATTTGAGAGTTTAAGGGGGTTGAAAATTTGGGAGTTTGGAAGAGTGGAAGTTTGAGAGTTTGGGGGTTGAAAATTTGGGAGTTTGGAAGAGTGGAAATTTGAGAGTTTAGGGGTTGAAAATTTGGGAGTTTAAATTGAGAGTTTAGGGGATTGAAAATTTGGAGATTTAGAAGAGGGGAATTTGAGAGTTTGAGGGGGTTGAAAATTTGGGAGTTTGGAAGAGTGGAGGTTTGAGAGTTTGGGGGTTTGAAAATTTGGGAGTTTGGAAGAGTGGAAATTTGAGAGTTTAGGGGTTGAAAATTTGGTAGTTTGGAAGAGTGGAAAATTGAGAGTTTGGGGGGTTGAAAATTTGAGAGTTTAGAATAGTGAAAATTTGAGAATTTAGAATAGTAAAAATTTGAGAGTTTAAGGGATTGAAATTTTACGAGTTTAGAATAGTGAAAATTTGAGAGTTTAAGGGGTTGAAAATTTGAGAGCTTACAATAGTAAAAATTTGAGAGTTTAAAGGGTTGAAAATTTGAGAGTTTAGAATAATGAAAATTTGAGAGTTTAAGGGTTTGAAATTTTGAGAGTTTAGAATAGTGAAAATTTGAGAATTTAAGGGGTTGAAAATTAGAGAGCTTACAATAGTAAAAATTTGAGAGTTTTAGGAGTTGAAAATTTGAGAGCTTACAATAGTGAAAATTTGAGAGTTTAGAATAGTGAAAATTTGAGAATTTAAGGGGTTGAAAATTAGAGAGCTTACAATAGTAAAAATTTGAGAGTTTAAAGGGTTGAAAATTTGAGAGTTTAGAATAGTGAAAATTTGAGAATTTAAGGGGTTGAAAATTTAAAAGTTTAGAAGCTTGCTAATTACAGATTTTGAGGGTAGAAAATTCAGGGTATAGAAGTTTAAAAATTTCAAACTTTAGAGGGTTGAAAATTCGAGTGTTCAGAAGTTTAAACATTTACAAGTGTGAACATTTCAGAATTTACAAGATTAATTGAGTACTGAATGTAAAAGTTCGGTACTAAATTTAGGAATTTCACCCCCAGAAATTACAGAAATTCTAAAATCCCCTAAATCTGCATCTACACACAAAGCTGCAATAAATTAATATACATGAAACTTCCGACAATAAACGTTAATCTCCAAAACATTGCAATTAGAATTGCCTGGCACTCGATAGTCATTAAGCGTTCCATTTACCCATCAGAATTAATACATTACTAAACTTCGCTCTCCCATAATACTATCATTATATGTATTTATACACTCCTACTATAATTAACAAAGTCTCCGAAATAATAGAAACTGACTATCTTCAAAAAGTGTTTCAAACTCAGCTAATAGATTATTATATTTATACACCCCTACTATAGTTAACAAAAATTTTTAAAATAATAAAAAATAACTATGTTCGAAATATATTAACCCAGTTGATAAGTCATTATATTTATACACCCCTACTATAATTTACAAAAATCTTCGAAATAGTAAAAAATAGCTATTTTCGAAATATATTTCGCACCCAGTCTATAGGTCATATATTTATGCACCCCTACTATAATTTACAAAAATCTTCGAAATAGTAAAAAACAGCTATTTTCGAAATATATTTCGCACCCAGTCTATAGGTCATTATATTTATACACCCTTACTATAACAAAAATCTTCGAAATAATAAAAAAGAAGTATCGTCGAAATAAATTTCGAACCCAGTCTATAGGTCATTATATTTATACACCCTACTATAATTATCAAAAATCGAAGTAATAAAAAATGACTATTTTCGAAAAATATTTCGAGCGCAGTTAATAGGTTAAACGACGATGTTGGTACACACGTACACACACGTGATGACGAAGAAACGTGAAATTTCGTGTGTATTGGTTAAACCTCTTAGATAGAGAAAGCGCACGAGTGTCTGGTGCATGACACAGAAGACGATCGTTACCGGACTGCAGCCACTTGTTAGAGCTCCGTCTAGCCATCCCCGGACTTTCTTCTATCTTTCTCTTTCTTCTCTGTATCTTCTTCGGCTAGGAGAGACCTTCGACCTGCACTTTTCGCGCAGACTTTTCCCTCTTGCTGCTATTCCGAGCTGCGGTCTATGTTTTATTGACCACCTGGTCAATTTGTTGGTAAACCGATCCGTTCGACTCTTCTTTTACGATTTCATGATCTTCGTTTTTGAATAATTTAGGTAGCTTCATGTAGAGATACATTTATTGCGGGTATTTCATTACGGGGGTATTTCTGTAAATCTTTTTGTAGGTTTCTGAGGGTTAAATTTAGACGGTAATTTTTATTGGATGAGGAGTGAATTGTTTGTATTCACTCTTTGAGTGTTTCTCTATTTTATTGTTCTTGACTGCTGGGATCTTAGATGGGGTGGAATTAGTACTTATACTACTCTTGTACTACCCTCATATTAACCGTACTACTCTTGTATTACCCTCATATTACCCTTACTACTCTTACACTACCCTTATATTACCTTATGCTAATCTTGTACTACCCTTGTATTGTACAGGGTGTCTCACAACTAGTCCCTGACGTGATTCTGAATAAGATTTCCCTTTGCAAAAATGGGGTTTGAAGCTTCGTTTTTGAATTATTCACTCGTATTTACATCTCCAGCCGAATTTTAGCTAAACCGATAGAAAATCAGAAACTGTTTTCCCTCGGCAATG